GCTTCCCTGTAAGGCTGTGCACTGTGCACACAGGAAGTGAGTGAAGCTGAAATTCAGCCCTCCCTTCACTAGCCACGCCGCGTATTTTGGTGTGGGCTTAGTTCTCCTGCCAGGAGGAAGAGGCAACTTCTTCTTGGCACAAAGACACCATCTACTTGCCAAGTCTTGTACCCCCTATGCTGTATCTGCCCAGGAAAGGGGGGGGCTTTCTTCTGGTTTATATAAAGACACTCCAGAGGCTAAAGGTAGCTCCTACTTTGTAGAAATGACACTCCTTCAAGTCTGTCCCTATTCGAATCCATTCATCTCTTCTGTACTGTCCTTCCTATGCTGTAAACCTGATGCTGCCTCTCCCCTGCATCCTTCAACAGCTCACTGACATCTATGAGCTCAGGTCCAGAGTCGTGGGCATGGTGTGTAAAAACCTTTGATCATCTCGTATCTGCCTTCTCTCCAGAGTCGTTTCTCCCCAAGTCTCCCCATGCACACCTCGCTTCAGCTGTGCTGGAGTTTTTCCCGTTGTTGGGATGTGCCAAAATCCTTCCCACTGGCTTCATCCTCTTCGTGTGCTGTTTGTCTAGGCTGGGAACATCATTCACACGCCATCCCACCACCTGACAATCTACTTACTGGTGATGATGAAGGAGGGGGAGAGAGAGGAGGAGAAAATGAAATGATAAAGATGATGGGTATCTATCGTAACAGACTGTTAGATAGAACAACTTTTCCTGTGCCTGGAAATGGAACTAGGATCCACAACCCATAACTACAGATGCTTTGTGTCCCCACATTCTTCAAAAGAGCCACCAGAATGCTCCCCAGTGCTAAATGGCCTATAACAATCACCCCCAGCAGACACACTCACCCCTGCTCTATATAAGCAGGTTGGCGGAGTGGGGGGGGCAGTGAGAGCCTCGTGGAGGACACAGAAGGGTTTTCCTCCCCTTCCATGCCTGCCCCTTCCCACCCAAAGAAGCCAAGTCGGGGTGGGGGGGGGGAGCCAATATACTTATGGTGTTTGCAAAAATGGGAGAAAAGTAGTCCATTTTCCAGGTAGATGTCTACTGGGAAGGCAGGGCACAGAGGGACACAGCAGAGCAGGCCACCTCAGCCTCTCACAGGTGCCATAGAAGTTTGCTGGACTGGGAAGTCTTGGAGATGCCCCCCGCCCCAGAAATGTGCTTGCTAGGTACATGGCCCATTGGCAAAGGGTTTGGGAGTGTGCTATGGGTTGGGGTGGAGAAATGTTGAGCTGAAATAGAATAGAAAATAAGGAGCTGGGAAACAAATCTCTCATGTGCCATTGACCTTCATCCAAAGGTCACCAGGAACACACCTGTAGTCGAATACATTGGCTTTCTTACTCAACGTAGCAAGAGCGAACGGGCTGCAGAGTTCCCACAGTTAAGAATGTTAGAAAGAACCGATTACAGGATTTGGACTTCAGCTGAGTAATTTTAGGGATGGTCTAAGGAGGCAGGAGTTCACTCTGGATGGAACAATTCTATGATTATCTCAATCAGTCTTATCCATAGGGAAGGCAGACTTGAGTAATAGAAATAATTGGTAAAGCAGCAGTCTTTTTCTTTCTTTCAAGTTTTTTATTTAGGTCAAGTAGTAGTCTTGCTTAGTGAGGGAGGGGCTGCTTAGTACTTTGTGGCTGGCACCTTGTCTGGAGTAGGGAGAAGAGCTTGCCCTTATAGCCCTTGAGGAAACCAACCCTCCCAGCACCTTGATCTGGGGCTTCGAGACTCTGGAGCTGTAAGAAAATAAATTTCTGGGGGCGCCTGGGTGGCTCAGTGGGTTAAAACCTCTGCCTTCGGCTCAGGTCATGATCCCAGGGTCCTGGGATCGAGCCCCACATCGGGCTCTCTTCTCAGCAGGGAGCCTGCTTCCCCCTCTCTCTCTGCCTCTTTCTCTGGCTACTTGTGATCTGTCTGTCAAATAAATAAATAAAATCTTAAAAAAAAAAAAAGAAATTTCTGTTGTTTATACCACCTTATCTCTAGTATTTGATTATGGCAGCCCCGCAAACTAATACACATGTATAACAAGTAAAGAGATTGAGTTAGTAACAACATATGGTCCGTGAAGAAAAGCCAGGACCCAGATGACTTCACTGGTGAAGTCTGCTAAACATCTGAGGAAAAATTAATACCAGCTCTTCAGAAACTCTTCAAAAACAAACAAACAAAAACAGAAGATGAGAGAATGCTTCCTAACTCACTCTGAGGCCACTGTCACCCTGGCACCAAACCAAAAACAAAGCAAGTGGTCCAATATTGCCAATGAATGCAGATGCCAAAACTCCGCAACAGCATATTAGCAGACCAAACCCAGAAACGCATAAAAAAGGGCGATAACCATGACTAAGTGGGATTTTATCCCAAGCAGGCAAGTTTGATTTAACAGTCAAAAATCAATTAATTTGCCATGCCATATCAATGGAATGAAACACATCTTTAGTTGATCCTCTCAATAGATCCAAAAAAGGCATTTGGCAATTTAAAAGTTAAAATTCCAACTCTTGGTGATAAAAGCACTCAACAAAATGGGGGACAGAAAAGAATTTCCTCAGGGTGCCTGGGTGGCTCCGTGGGTTAAGCCTCTGCCTTCCACTCAGGTCATGATCTCAGGGTCATGATCGAGCCCCACATAGGGCTCTCTGCTCAGCGGGGAGCCTGCTTCCCCCCTCTCTCTCTCTGCCTGCCTCTCTGCCTCCTTGCGATCTCTCTCTGTCAAATAAATAAATAAAATCTTAAAAAAAAAAGAAAATAAAAGAATTTCCTCAACCTAATATGACCATCTATGAAACACTCACAGGCAACATTATCCTTAGTGGTGAAAGAAAGCATTCCTTCTAAGATTAAGGTCAGGACCAAGACAAGGATGCCCACTCTTACCACTTCTTATCACATTATACTGGAGGTTCTACCCAGGACAGTTAGACAAGGGGGGAAAAGAAAAGGCATCAAGATTAAACAGGAAGAAGTATAAAGTTCCCTCTATTTGCAAATGACATAATCCTTTCTCCACACCCAGGCCTTTCAACGGACTAGAACGAAAGCTGAATTGGTGACATCTTCTTTCTTGCAGGCAAGGAGTTGTCATATTGCTTTGTCCTCAGGCTCCATTTTCCTGCCATTTCTCCTTCTTCTGAATAACCACATCTGTGCCTATTTTCAGGTCTCCTCATTGGCGCTATCACACAGCCCAGGCGCCCCCTTCAGTGACAAGAACGCCACTGCTCTTCTGCTTCCTGGGCAGTGAGAACCCACAAAGGAATTTGACTGTCCCACACACTTGCATTCTTACTGCTGGCTTTGATGCAGGGTTTCAGGACACCATACAACTGCTGTCAGTGTCCCTATGCTCCCCCCCAACACGCACACAACATGTAGAGCCTCAGGGCTTCATTCAGCTGCACACCCACCTGGGAGCTAACTTGATAAGCACCTTTGCTGCCTGTCTTCTCTTTCTGTCCATATCCATCCGCCTCCCCAAACCCCACTGCAACTGGTGTGTCCTTATGTGGCCTCTCAAGTAAACTACTTGACCTGGACTCCTTATTCTCCGGTCAGGTTGCGAGGAAGGTAAAACTGACAGGATAGTCACAGTGGGTCATCATCAACTTAGCGGAACTTGACCAAAGAGCTCACAACGTTGGAACATAACAGGAAATACCAGAGTGCCCTCTGGATTTGTTTCAATTTGGGACCGTATACTGGGTCATGTAAACTGTATCTCACAGTGGGACGAAGGCAAGAATATTTAGGAAAACTCTGCTCCAAAGACTTCTCATCGTTCCTAAACAATGTCAACATATGACCTTGTAAAGAAAAGTGTCACTTTCCCAGAATATCTAAGGAGACGCCAAAAAGGAGTGCTAGGTTTTCTAGAGAGAAGGATGCTTCGTTTTTTATTACCTGAATAAATTTTGTGATTGTATAATTTTCAAAAAAGTTTACAAAGGAATCCTCGGAAAGCCGATGAGAGTGACATCACATATTGCCCGTGGCATCGTGAACCGCACACTTGGAGTTAGCAATCCCATAAATCCTCAGATTTATACTAAGAAAAAAGAACTCTAAAGAACTAAAAGACATGTAGAATGACACACGTTGCAGTGTTGTATGTTCAATAAAAAGGGACAGAATTTAAAGGTCTGGATAGGAGGGATTTCTAAGCGCATACCCTCAGAAAAAGAGCCTTCAAGGGTAAGTCTGCAGAGCACTTTACAGGGAGATGGAGGAGGACATGTCAGTCGTTTGTATCAAACACCTCATGGGATTACAGGAGAAATTGCTTCAGGTGCCTCAGCGGCACACCCAGCGGTGCCCTGCTCTCTGGAGAGGTGTGATGGAGATCCACCACAATTTAGAATGAACCCAAGGCGATGAAGCAGCTCACTCATGAATTCCAGAACTCACACTTGAACTTGACTCGGCATAAGTGAGCACAGGGGGAAGGGTCAATTATGAAGTTCCAAACAAGAGGAGTGGTTGGCAATGGTTTGTCCTCAGCCCGGCACCCGAGACCACACCCGGTCTGTGGCCGACGGGGACACAAATCCCCCCGTGGCGTCTTAAACACGATTTGTTCGTAAAAGAGTCATCAGTAGTCAGGTGTCCAGGCCCAAGGAGAATTTAATCGATTAAAAACACAGGGTCGTCACGAAGTCGTTGTTGTCGTCAAGAAGTATACACATCGGGGCTGGGACAGGCGCCGTCCCCGCGGGCGACCCCGAGGGTCTGGGGAGCAGGGCGCGGGGCTGAGCGCGGGTGCGGCGCGCTGGGAGGCAGAAGGCGAGCGAAGCGGACGCGAGGTCGAGCGCCCCGGGCCCGCGCGCAAGCCCGTCCCGCCGGCAGGGGCGCGCTGGAGCCGGGCGGTCCCGGGAGGCGCGGCGCGGGCGGGGCGGCCGAGCTCTCACCGCCCCGGGGTGTGGTTCCCAAGGCCCGGCGGGCGGGGCGCCGGGTTTAAAGCGCGGGGCTGAGGGACCAGACTTACTCGCGCTCCTGCCGCCTCCGCACCTAGCCATGGAGCGGCCGCCGCTGAGCGTCCTGCTCGTCGGCGCCGCCGGCCTGCTGCTCCTGCTCCTGCCCCTCTCCTCTTCCTCCTCTTCGGACGCCTGCGGCCCCTGCGAGCCGGCCGCCTGCCCGCCCCTGCCCCCGCGGGGCTGTCCGCTGGGCGAGACCCGCGACGCGTGCGGCTGCTGCCCGGTGTGCGCCCGCGGCGAGGGCGAGCCGTGCGGGGGCGGCGGCGCCGGCAGGGGGCACTGCGCGCCGGGCATGGAGTGCGTGAAGAGCCGCAAGAGGCGGAAGGGTAAAGCCGGGGCAGCAGCCGGCGGCCCGGAGGTGAGCGGCGTGTGCGTGTGCAAGAGCCGCTACCCGGTGTGCGGCAGCGACGGCGTCACCTACCCCAGCGGGTGCCAGCTGCGCGCCGCCAGCCTGAGGGCCGAGAGCCGAGGGGAGAAGGCCGTCACCCAGGTCAGCAAGGGCACCTGCGAGCAAGGTGGGCACGAGCGCTTTCCCTTCCGACCCCGCCCTGGCGGCCGCGCGCCCCCTGGCGGATCAGACCCGACAGGGCGTCCGCCGTCGCGGTACCCCGCGACGACTCCAGTGGGCATCCCGGGGGGAGACGGAGGCGAGGGGAGGAGCTTCCCTCCGGGAAGCAAGGACGACGCCCCCTCTTCTCTCTCTCTCTCTTTCTCTGGTTTTATTTTGATAGCTTGTTGCGTGCGCCCAGAAGTGAGGACTGGCGAGTGTATATACATTCAGATGGCAAGTCGATTCGCAAAAGCTGCCCCTACTCTTTCGGAAAGCCAGGGATGTCCTCTTCCTCGTCCTTTCTTGACTTGGGTGGATAGGTAGAAGTGAAGTCAGAGAGGGGGAAAGAGTTTGACGATGAAGTGCAAAGTAAGGACTTTCAAAGAAGTTATTTATCCTGCGTTTAATTGGTTAGGCTGTAAGAATTTTGAAAATTGGATTTTTATGGTTCTTAATATTAGAGTAATTCACTTACTGGAAATTAAAGATTCTCAAACAGTAATCTAGCTAATTATTTGTGGGCAAGAAGTACAAACTCTTGGAAGAATGTTTTTATGTAGTTTATATTATGAACCTTATGACCATATTGTTTTCTTTCTTGTCCCATTTTTGTGTAACTCGTCCCCAGGATGCCCTGTTCAGCAGGAATGCCTTTGAGGTTATGTTAGATCGTTTAATTCCAGACAGGTCCAAACTTGCCATAAATGAAAGAGGAAAATAAATAAGTGTCTGGACTTGTAAGGGGAAAGAAACCTCAGAGATTTTAACTCTGTCTGAAATAACATTTTCCGTAGGCAGTAATTTCAAGGGAAAGCTAGAGATCCAACCTTGGCAGTCCCTCTCCTGGCCCCAGCCAATGTAGAAAAAGGGAAGGAGGCAGCTCTCTTAAAATGACAGAAGCAGTTGCTTCCTTAAGCACAGCCCAGACTTTTCCCCACACTTTCCAAATAATTCTTTTTTTAGAGCTTTTCCCAGAAGTCCATACTCTGCTAGGTCGTATGTCACTAATTTCAGAGTTCACTACTGAAAGCCTTAAGTCGTGTTAACTTACTGTTGACTCCTTAGATTACTGTCACCTTAAGCTTAGAAAATCACAACCCAAAATAATTCATAGACTTTTCCAACAGAAACACAGTCATTTTTTCTTTTGGATCTAATTTATCAGTCATTTCCTGAAAAGAGAAATGTGTGCAGTTTAAAAATTCATTCCAAATACTGCGATTTTTCTTATAAACCTTCCAAGGGGAATTTTTCCCCATAGTCTTTCCAAATGACTGGTACTTGCTTATCAGAGCGGAAGGTTTGCTGGGTGATTGTTTTAAGCATTGTTGCCGATTCTGGCTGGTTTTATCCCTTTTTCTCTCCTACTATGTGCATCTCTAAACACACAGTGGGATTATAAAATCTTGAGACTGGATAGTCGTATAGAAGAGTCCTATCACCTGATTGCCGGGTACACCCAGTTTCTCAGCATCTTTTCAGACTGCAAACCCCGTGAAGATATGGACCTGGTTTTTCTTTTTTTCTGGGAAAATGTGAAGGGAAATAGCATCGAAAACTGGCAACTTTGACATAAATTAGCCTTTTCTTCCCAAACTAAATTTAGAGATATGGGTCTGGTGCCTGGGACCATTTATTATTACGCCAGAGAAAGCAGAAAAGACTGTGAGGTCTACCAGTGTACTTTTCTACAACAGAGATGAATGGGGCCAAAACCAGATCTCCTGATAATATTTCTCCTGACGTGGAGATGTGTTGATAGTGACAGGCAAACCTGACAGCGCTGTTTCTTTCTGTGCCATTTAGTACTAAGGCTCTGCGAAGACTAGGAAATGCATTTTCTAGGTTCCTCCAGCCATTTCTACCCCGAGAAGAAACTTGAGTTAGGCTTCCTCGAGTGCTGAGAGGAAGGGGGCGTTGCTGTTCATCTCGTTTACCGGCATTTATTGAGCATCTAGTACATGTCAGCAATGTGCTGACACAAGTGTTCTCCAGCCACGGATGCACAAACAGATCTGGTCTTGATGAGTAAGAAACTATCCCTACAAGTTGCAATCTCACTTCCTTGAGTGCTTTCCTTGGAGCCCTGGAGACCCTCCCAATTGTCCCCTTCTTTTCTGAGATCACCACGTACCTACAGTCTGGGGAAAGATCTTGGTCTGCTTGTTTTCTTTGCCTGTGATGAGAGGCAAAGCTGTCATCTTGAAATATGTCCAAATGGTAATGAGCTAAGCATCTCAAACCTTGGAACTGCCGTCATGAATTTAGAACCACTAGATCTGATTGAGGTCCCTGATGTCATGAGCAAGTGGAGGAGGGGATTTGACGATTCAGTTTGATAAAAAGTTCTGGAGGTGCCGAGGTCTACAACGAAATCACTCCGTTGGAAGAGAACAGGGCGCTCCTTTATTCCGATTCTTGGTTGACGCCTTTTGTTCGTGGTGTGTTCGTGGTGCTTTAAATCCGAGCTTCTTGGTGATTGCGTTGCAGCCACTTCGGGTCTCTGTGTTTAGTACTTTTGGGACCCAAGTTCAAACTACCTAGCAGGGCATACAAGGCTCTTGACCATAATAGTATTATTTTGGCCTCTTCTCCCCAAGCCCCTTATGGCCCAAGCACAGAATGTTGGAGCTTGCTGTTCGCAGTCACACCCTCACTATTTCCCACCCTTTGAATTCCAGGCCTTCGAGGATCAGCCCCTGTCCCTTTCTCCATGAAGCAACTTACCCTCCCCGCCCCAACCCAGCTGCGCTCCACCTACCCTGCACCCCCATGATGATGTCCTTGTCCTCCTTTGGTTCTCTGGAAGCATCCAGCCATTTTCATTGCACAGATACTGTGTATATATAAGCAAGAGGCGTTCTACCAGAGTAGTAAGACACTGAGCTCTAGAGCCGGACTCCCGGGTGCACATCTTAACCCTGTCACTTACCCTGGGGCAAGTCACTTGACCTCTTGGGACTGGGTTTCCCCAACTGTAATAAAAGGATTATCATCATACCTGTCTCAGAGTCGCCAGTGACATTCAGGGTTGTGGCGATTATCCACAGAAAGTGCTCAATAGATATGCGTTGTCACTATGGAACTAGAAAGTAAGCTCTGTGAGGAAAGGGAATTTTCGCTTCCTGATCTGTGCCTACATCCATGCCTGGCACTAGTAGGTGCTTTAAACATAAGCTGAATGAATTTTGAGTGTGTCAGGTGTTCTAGTCTCAGGGCGAGCAGCCTTGAATAAAATAAACAAGATCCCTCTCTCATGGTTTTTACTGAAAGCTTTAGACAGAAACAGCACATTTAACAGCGTGTGCCCTGAGAATGTACAACAGGGAAATGGGATGGAGGTTGGGGATGGAGCCCTGTGAGGTGAGGCTGGGCCAAGCCACGCAGAGGATCCGTGGGACGATTTTGGCCAAAGGACCGGAATTCCTGAGGGAAAAACCAACTCTGCGGGTTCCCAGAGCACTCCCCGTTGTCTCCAGTGGGCTCTGGGAATGTCTGTCCTCCCCACTAGACCAGGAGCATCCTGAAAGAGGGACTCCATCTTATAATTATTTATAAACACAGTGGCTGGCGATTAGTTGGACACTTGGTAATTACGTATTGGTTAAACAAAGGAATCCATGTAAGAAAGAGCCTTCCCATTTGGAAATGCAGGCTATGGACCCTGCTGCCTGTCTCTTTTCTCCTTGTATGCTCTGCCTTCCTGAAGTCTAGGCCAAGGAATACATCTGACCCTTGACTCGTCTTCCCTTCTAATGCTGTCCTGAACTCTAACATTAGGTGGTCAGTTTCCCCCCGAAATCCCAACATTTCTCCTTCCCTTTTATGGTAAGAATTAGGTTCAGAGCTGCAGAAACTGTTGTGTAAATGGAAAAAGCTTCAGCAAAAAGATTTTTGTTTTCAGAAACTCATTTCATTTGATGGATTTTAAACATTGGCTCTTTGAGAAGCTCATTTAGTTAGCAACCTAAAAATGAACCTATCATTTAGCTGTCCCTGTTGTATTACTATCCACCAATGAGGTATGAACTTGTGATATTGTGATTTATAATAAATACATACGTGATCTTACTCTGTTTCTACCCTGAAGCTCCCCAAGCATTTGGAATTTCCTAAGTGTGGAGGGTGGTCTAGTATCTTTTGCTGTCTTAATGAGTGCCTTTGGGGCTGAGGAGGGGCAGGCTGCCTGCTTGTGGAACCAACCACTTGATGATTCCATGGGAACTTTCAAGCCCATCTCCCTACCTCCCGGGAAGGGAGACGGCCGATGATTGTCATCGAATCCTTAAATCATGCTTATATAGAGAAGACTCCACAAATACCCAGAAGGACTGGTTCAGAGAGCTTCTGGGTTGGTCAACATTGGAGATGTTGGGAGAGTAGTGCTCCCAGACAGGGCATGGAGGCTCCAGCCATACCCCTTTCCCCATACCTTGCCCTACACAGTTCTTCTGTCTGGCTCTTCCTGAGTTGTATCCTTTTATAATAAATTGGTAATTTTGTGAGTAAAATGTTTCTCTGAGTTCTGTGAGCCACTCTCTCTAGCAAATTAATTGAACCAGAGGGAGTGGTTGGAACCTCCCATCTGTGGCCAGTCAGAAACACAGGTGACAAACGACTTGTGATGGGCATCTGAAAGGTGTGGGTGTAGTCTGGTGGGACTGAACGGTGTGAGCTAACACTGTCTCCGGGCAGACAGTGTCAGAAAAGGATTGTAGGACACCCAATGAGTGTCAAAGACTTGCTTGGTGGCATGGAAAAAACACGTCACGACTGGCGTCAGAACTGTAGAACTCTATGGAAAGTTGAAACTGGGATTCAAAAATTAAATTATTAAATGTCTGGTTTATCTCCAGGGATGGGGAGAATGGAAGTCCATGCAATACTTTGTTAAGCTAACACAGTTACATCATAAGACGGCTCACAGGACCCGAGGTAGAAGGAGCCTTCATCTGGATTTGTAGG